AGAATGAATGTTGACATTTCAATGTATGGTTTACTAAATTAAAAGAGATGTGTCTACAGCTAAGGTATGTTACACAGACAATAATATTCATTTAAAAAAAACTTAAATCTTTAGAATTATAAATATATATGTTTTCTAATTAAATTTCTAAGCAGAATTTACTATTCTAAGAAAGCAGCAATTTAGTATGGTTCTCCAGTCACCAATTGACCATTACCAAGTGTTGAAAGGTTCACTGTCCGAAGTAGAGAATTTCAAGTATGTTGTATGAGCTAATGCCTGATGAGTAAGCACCCAGAATTTGACTGTAACCAAACCATTATGTATAAATTCAATGCTGTCTTTTTTATTTCAATCTAACAAGTGGTGAAAATTAATTTTCAGAGTGTTTATGGACAGCATATTCTTTAGAAATTCATTAGGAAATGGTATGATTATCTAACAATTTTATAATTTTTAATTTTCATGTGGCACGTTAGAATAATTATGGTCTTCTTCTACAGCATATCTTTAGGTAACACAACAATTTATGTTTATGTATTTATTTTAAGGAAAATTCATCTTTGCACATTTTATTTTGAGTATCTGTCTTTTTATTTCAATCTAACAAGTGGTGAAAATTAATTTTCAGAGTGTTCATGGACAGCATATTCTTTAGAAATTCATTAGGAAATGGTAGGATTATCTAACAATTTTATCATTTTTAATTTTCATGTGGTTACTTTAGAATAATTATGGTCTTCTTCTACAGCAGATCTTTAGGTAACACAACAATTTATAAACAACAAAAAAACAGCGCAAAATCTGAAAACAAAATTACCTAAGTGAATAAAATCTAAAATAATGATAAGTGTCCATATAAAAATAAGTCCTTATTCCCATCAGAACCAATAATAAATATTCAAAATGTGCTTCCACCTATCCACCACGTGAGAAATAATATTGACCGCACTCACCAGATGGAGGTGAGTAATGAGCCTGATAGGATATAAGGGATCCTATAACCCCTCCAAAAGAGATCAAATCTTCTTTTTCACCCTGCTTAGGTCTATAAATCATCTCCACTTTATTCCTTCATGGATTCCTCAATGGTGTATAGAGAAAGAAACTACATAGTGTAATACTATATATATCAACCGACTTAAATGAACAAACTTAAAGTCCCAAAAGTAAAATGTCCCAAATTTCACATAAAAAACTCAAAAAAAGTCCAACGTGATATCTAAATCTTGATGGATAAGTGCTCACTACTCCAAAATGAAGATGAAGATAAAACTCAGACGTTCTTCATATACCTCAAAAAAACAAAAACAAAATCTAGACATAGTGTATTATCTTAAGTATCACAAGTATAGTGCCACACGTGCAGCATGCAAAAGAATATAGTGTCACAGCATTCGTGAAGAAGATACTCAATAGATATCACTGCAAACCATATAAAAAATGCATAATTACCCTAACTCAAAAAAATATCAGCATGTGATCAACCAGTGAGCATGGAAAATCCCCAAGCTGGCATCCTCTTGTTCCTTTGGACCTCACAAACAGACCAGGAATCAGTATATGAAAAATTGATATATAAATTTATTGTAGCCACTTACATTAAAATCTAATAAAACCGGCTTCCTGCTCCTAGCGACAACTGAGTACCACCATTGTGATATCAAAAGGTCTCCAGGGAGTCACACCGTCACACTCCTGCCCACCACTGTCCCTTCAGCTCTGGGGGAGCGCCAGGAGTACACCGCGAGTCCCAGGACCGCCAAACACAAGCGCTCCAGAATCCAAAATGCCACCGCGGCACTTCCGGGAAAAAGAGATCAAATCTTCTTTTTCACCCTGCTTAGGTCTATAAATCGTCTCCACTTTATTCCTCCATGGATTCCTCAATGGTGTATAGAGAAAGAAACTACATAGTGTAATACTGCCACTTCATATAAAATATAAAGATAGAATAAGGCCACTCACGTGTTTAAATATAATTAAAAGCCTTGTTTAATAGCCTAGATGGCTTCAAGATATCCAATTTCCACAATGCAAATATAGGGATCTCACGCTTCTGTAGTATCTGCTTCTGTAGTATCCACCGTCATTCTGGCTCACGTCACTTCCGGTGTTTGGAACGCACGCCGAGTTATGCGGTTCAAGCGGCCATCTTAGAGGTGGAAGACTGTTCATCCTCTGCAGATACTACAGAAGCGTGAGATCCCTATATTTGCATTGTGGAAATTGGTTATCTTGAAGCCATCTAGGCTATTAAACAAGGCTTTTAATTAATTTAAACATGTGAGTGGCCTTATTCTCTCCTTATATTTTATATGAAGCGGCAGTATTCTTGTTGACAAAGTCCGGAAGTGACGAAACGCGTCCAGGGCACGTGACGTATTGACGTTCCCGGAAGTGCCGCGGTGGCATTTTGGATTCTGGAGCGCTTGTGTTTGGCGGTCCTGGGACTCGCGGTGTACTCCTGGCGCTCCCCCAGAGCTGAAGGGACAGTGGTGGGCAGGAGTGTGACGGTGTGACTTCCTGGAGACCTTTTGATATCACAATGGTGGTACTCAGTTGTCGCTAGGAGCAGGAAGCCGGTTTTATTAGATTTTAATGTAAGTGGCTACAATAAAATTTATATATCAATTTTTCATATACTGATTCCTGGTCTGTTTGTGAGGTCCAAAGGAACAAGAGGATGCCAGCTTGGGGATTTTCCATGCTCACTGGTTGATCACATGCTGATATTTTTTTGAGTTAGGGTAATTATGCATTTTTTATATGATTTGCAGTGATATCTATTGAGTATCTTCTTCACGAATGCTGTGACACTATAGTGTTTTGCATGCTGCACGTGTGGCACTATACTTGTGATACCTAAGATAATACACTATGTCTAGATTTTGTTTTTGTTTTTTTGAGGTATATGAAGAACGTCTTAGTTTTATCTTCATCTTCATTTTGGAGTAGTGAGCACTTATCCATCAAGATTTAGACATCACGTTGGACTTTTTTTGAGTTTTTTATGTGAAATTTGGGACATTTTACTTTTGGGACTTTAAGTTTGTTCATTTAAGTCGGTTGATATATAGTATTACACTATGTAGTTTCTTTCTCTATACACCACTGAGGAATCCATGAAGGAATAAAGTGGAGATGATTTATAGACCTAAGCAGGGTGAAAAAGAAGATTTGATCTCTTTTGGAGGGGTTATAGGATCCCTTATATCAGGGGTGGGCAAACTTTTTGACTTGAGGGCCGCAATGGGTTCATATATTGGACCCGGGGGCCGGACCAAGAGTAGATGAATGATGTGTATGTGTCATCCATAGTAAGTATAGTAATATTCCCCCATAGTAAGCATAGTAATTCATCCCCCATATAGTAATTCATCCCCCATAGTAATTCATCCCCCATATAGTAATTCATCCCCCATATAGTAATTCATCCCCCATAGTAATTCATCCCCCATATAGTAATTCATCCCCCATATAGTAATTCATCCCCCATAGTAATTCATCCCCCATATAGTAATTCATCCCCAATAGTAATTCATCCCCCCATATAGTAATTCATCCCCCATAGTAATTCATCCCCATATATTAATTCATCCCCCATAGTAATTCATCCCCCATATAGTAATTCATCTCCCATAGTAATTCATCCCCCATAGTAATTCATCCCCCATATAGTAATTCATCCCCCATAGTAATTCATCCCCCATATAGTAATTCATCCCCCATAGTAATTCATCCCCCATAGTAATTCATCCCCCATATAGTAATTCATCCCCCCTATAGTAATTCATTCCCCATATTAGGTCCCCAAGTCCCCCCTGTGTCAATTCACTTACCTTTGCTCCGCTCGTTCCTCTCGCCGTGTTCCCACGCCGTTCCGGTGTAGCATGAAAATCTGTTTCCTATGAGGATCTGTCCCCCTCGACGTATCTGCGCATGTGCCAGTTTCAGGCATTAGCAGCCGATCGGCGATCTCCGGCACATGCGCAGATACGTCGAGGGGGACAGATCCTCATAGGAGACAGATTTTCATGCTACACCGGTCTCCTAACAGCCATCCTGACAGTATCACGCTCCACGGGCCGGATTAAAAGGTCGTAGTTTGCCCATTGCTGCCTTATATCCTATAAGGCTCATTACTCACCTCCATCTGGTGAGTGCGGTCAATATTATTTCTCACGTGGTGGACAGGTGGAAGCACATTTTGAATATTTATTATTGGTTCTGATGGGAATAAGGACTTATTTTTATATGGACACTTATCATTATTTTAGTTTTTGTTCACTTATGTAATTTTGTTTTCAGATTTTGCTCTGTTTTTTTGTTGTTTATTATTGGTGTTTTTCACTGTTGTACAGCTGCATAATCACTTAGTATTTTCTTTTTGGCGCTGGGATATATATTTTTGAACACAACAATTTATGTTTATGTATTTATTTTAAGGAAAATTCATCTTTGAACATTTTATTTTGCAGAAAAAAATGCATTTTTCATGTCTGTTAAAATCCTTCCAATTAAAAAAAAAATGTGTGAGATCAACCAGACTCAAGTCACACAAATCAAACTACTTGGATTTCGAGGTCTTTATAAATTCAAAATTCTGTTCTTCCTTATGTTTTTTTTAGCATACTTCGTAATATTATGTGGAAATATTTTAATAATTATTTTAGTGACAACCACTGATCAACTTAAAATTCCGATGTACTTCTTTCTCAAGCACTTGGCTATATCCGATGTCCTAATGACTACCAGCGTGGTACCCATGACCCTGGACGTCATTGTGAAAGATGAAATAAGAGTATCGCTGATTAGTTGCATTCTTCAACTTTATTTTTTTGCTAATTGCATTGGTTTTCAAAATTTTCTCATTGCTGTCATGTCCTACGATCGGTATTTGGCCATCTGCATTCCTTTACGATATTCATCACTTATGAACTACCATGTCTTTTCCAAGCTGATCATCGGGTTATGGGTCCTGAATATCATTTTAACATCAAGTGAATTATTTGAGATATTTCGATTTAATTATTGTGGTTTGAATTATATAGACCATTTTTTTTGTGATTTTGGCCCGTTTGTTCTATTGTCCACCTCCGACACGTCTGCGTTGATGCTTCAGAACTTTGTCACTTCGTTCTTCGTGTTTTCTTTTCCCCTTTCCTTTATAATCGTAACATACATCTACATTTTCATCATAGTTCTAAAGATATCTTCAACTCAAGGGCGGAAGAAAGCCTTTTCTACTTGTAGCACCCATTTGGTCATGGTTTGTGCTTTTTATGGAACATTAATCATTGTGTATACGGCCCCGTCTGATGAAAGCTCAACCGGTACAAACAAATATAGATCTCTTCTGTACACTGTGGCGTCCCCACTAATAAATCCGATTATATATAGCTTAAGAAACCATGAGATCAAGACAGCTCTGCGCAGAATGTTGGCTAACTGTAAGACCTTTGTCAACAGATAACAAGAAACTGAATACTTACCATATACCCACTGCAATAAGCATTAAAGTGTTACTAAACCCACAACAGTACAATCAGTCTGTAGATGCAGTAAAGCATGCTTGTTATACTCACTGTGGGACCTAAGGAGTTAATCCTCCACATTGTGTAAAAAGGCTGTTTGATCCTGTCCTCTCTGATCCTCCCCTTCTTTTACTGTCCCCATTCCATCTGCTGATAGTACAGAACTCTAGGAGTCACTTTGCACATGCTAAGTTTAGTATGTATTACTAGAGTTTTTTTTCTTTGTAAGAGTGCATGTGATCAGCACAGGACCAAACAGCACTGTCAAAACAAAGGGTCAGGGGTTATGCAGCCTCATAGGACAGTCAAAGGAGAATGAAAATCCCTCCTACTAACTTTACCGGTGCTCTGCTTGACATTGATAAAAGTCACAAGACTTTGATATACTGCTGATGGGAAAAGGTATTTAGCAGTTTATATTTACTAAAATAATAATGCATTTCCATGTTTTGTGTACTGTGGGAGACCAGATATAGTGAATGCAGAGTCCGGGGAGACCAGATATAGTGAATGCAGGGTCCAGGGAGACCAGATATAGTGAATGCGGGGTCGGGGAGACCAGATATAGTGAATACAGGGACCGGGGAGAGCGGACATAGTGAATGCAGGGTCCGGGGAGACCGAATATAGTGAATGCAGGGTCCGGGGAGAGCAGATATAGTGAATGGAGGGTCCGGGGAGAGCAGATATAGTGAATGCAGGGTCCGGGGGGACCAGATATAGTGAATGCAGGATCCGGAGAGACCGGATATAGTGAGTGCAGGGTCCGGGGAGAGCAGATATAGTGAATGCAGGGTCCGGGGAGAGCAGATATAGTGAATGCAGGGTCCGTGGAGACGGGATATAGTGAATGCAGGGTCCGGGGAGAGCGGATATAGTGAATGCAGGGTCCAGGTAGAGCGGATATAGTGAATGCAGGGTCTGGGGAGACCAGATATTGTGAATGCAGGGTCCGGGGAGACCAGATATAGTGAATGCAGGTTCTGGGGAGAGCGGATATAGTGAATGCAGGGTCCGGGGATACCAGATATAGTGAATGCAGGGTCCGGGGACAGAGCGGATATAGTGAATGCAGGGTCCGGGGAGAGCGGATATAGGGAATGCAGGGTCCGGGGAGAGCGGATATAGTGATTTCAGGGTCCGGGGAAACCGGATATAGTGAATGCAGGGTCCGGGGAGAGCAGATATAGTGAATGCAGGGTCCGGGGAAACCGGATATAGTGAATGCAGGGTCCGGGGAGAGTGGTTATAGTGAATGCAGGGTTCGGGGAGAGCGGATATAGGGAATGCAGGGTCCAGGGAGACCAGATACAGATATAGTGAATGCAGGGTCCGGGGAGAGTGGACATAGTGAATGCAGGGTACAGGGAGACCAGATATAGTGAATGCAGGGTCCGGGGAGAGTGGACATAGTGAATGCGGGGTACAGGGAGACCAGATATAGTGAATGCGGGGTCCGGAGAGACCAGATATAGTGAATGCTGGGTCCAGGGAGAGCGGATATAGTGAATGCAGGGTCTGGGGAGAGCGGATATAGTGAATGCAGGGTCAGGGGAGACCAGATATAGTGAATGCAGGGTCCGGGGAGACCGGATATAGTGAATGCAGGGTCCTGGGAGACCAGATATAGTAAATGCAGGGTCCGAGGAGAGCAGATATAGTAATAGCAGGGTCTGGGGAGACCGGATATAGTGAATGCAGGGTCTGGGGAGAGTGGATATAGTGAATGCAGGGTCCGGGGTGAGCAGATATAGTGAATGCAGGGTCCGGGGAGACCGGATATAGTGAATGAGGGTCCGGGGAGACCGGATATAGTGAATGCAGGGTCCGGGGAGACCGGATATAGTGAATGCGGGGTCCGGGGAGAGCGGATATAGTGAATGCGGGGTCCGGGGAGACCAGATATAGTGAATGCAGGGTCCTGGGAGACCGGATATAGTGAATGCAGGGTCCGGGGAGAGCGGATATAGTGAATGCAGGGTCCGGGGAGACCAGATATAGTAAATGCAGGGTCCGAGGAGAGCAGATATAGTGATAGCAGGGTCCGGGGAGACCGGATATAGTGACTGCAGGGTCCGGGGGGGCCGGATATAGTGAATGCAGGGTCTGGGGAGACCGGATATAGTGAATGCAGGGTCCGGGGAGACCAAATATAGTGAATGCAGGGTCCAGGGAGAGCGGATATAGTGAATGCATGGTCCGGGGAGACCGGATATAGTGAATGCAGGGTCAGGGGAGACCGGATATAGTGAATGCAGGGTCCAGGGAGACCAGATATAGTGAATGCGGGGTCCGGGGAGACCAGATATAGTGAATGCGGGGTCCGGGGAGACCGGATATAGTGAATGCAGGGTCCGGGGAGACCGGATATAGTGAATGCAGGGTCCAAGGAGAGCGGATATAGTGAATGCGGGGTCCGGGGAGAGCGGATATAGTGAATGCAGGGTCCGGGGAGAGCGGATATAGTGAAAGCAGGGTCCGGGGAGAGCGGATATAGTGAATGCAGGGTCCCGAGGAGAGCGGATATAGTGAATGCAGGGTCCAGGGAGAGCGGATATAGTGAATGCAGGGTCCGGGGAGAGCGGATATAGTGAATGCAGGGTCCGGGGAGAGCGGATATAGTGAATGCGGGGTCCAGGGAGAGCGGATATAGTGAATGCAGGGTCCGGGGAGACCAGATATAGTGAATGCAGGGTCCGGGGAGACCAGATATAGTGAATGCAGGGTCCGGGGAGAGCAGATATAGTGAATGCAGGGTCCAAGGAGAGCAGATATAGTGAATGCGGGGTCCGGGGAGAGTGGATATAGTGAATGCAGGGTCCAGGGGAGAGCGGATATAGTGAATGCGGGGTCCGGGGAGAGCGGATATAGTGAATGCAGGGTCCTGGGTTTAGTAACACTTTAAAGTGTTACTAAACCCACAACAGTACAATCAGTCTGTAGATGCAGTAAAGCATGCTTGGTATACTCACTGTGGAACCTAAGGTATGAATCTTTGACACTGTATAAAAAGGATGTTTGATCATGTTTGGTGTGTATCGCTACAGAGTTTTTTTTTTTTTTTTTCTTGACAGAGTGCATGTGATCAGCACAGGGCCAATCGGCACTCTCCAGACAGAGGTCCTGCACCCTGCTACAGGAGAATGCAGGGTCCTAGGTTTAGTGACACTTTAAAGTGTCACTAAACCCCCAACAGTACAATCAGTCTGTAGATTCAGAAAAGCATGCTTGTTATACTCACTGTGGAACCTAAAGAGTTAATCCTCCACATTGGGAAAAATGGCTGTTTGATCACGTCTTCTCTGATCCTCCCCTTCTTTTACTGTCCCCAATCCATCTGCTAATAATACAGAGCTCTATGAGTCACTTTGCACATGCTCAGTTTAGTGTGTATTACTAGAGGTTTTTTTTTCTTTGCAAGGGCGCATGTGATCAGCACAAACCAATCAGCACTTTCCAGACAGAGGGTCAGGGGTTATGCAGCCTCATAGTACAGTCAGAGGAGAATGAAAATCCCTCCTACTAACTTTACCAGTGCTCTGCTGGACACTGATAGAAGTCACAAGACTGCTCTATACTGCTGATGGGAAAAGGTATTTAGCAGTTTATATTTACTAAAGTAATTGCACTTCCATGTTCTCTGTACTGTGGGAGACCAGATATGGTGAATGCAGAGTCCTGGGTTTAGTAACACTTTAATGTCCATAATCCATATGTTTTACATTTTTTTATATAATCTGGTGTTACAGCAGCCCAAAAATAGGCAAATCAGCTTTTCCGATACATATTGGTGACTATAACGAGACCTGGATGTCTACAGTAAAGGCCAAAGCAAACTAACTATTGTATAAACTACCAACTGCTGAATCTTCTGAATCTTACACTTCCAGGAGTGTCAAATAAAAAAAGAACTTGAAAAAGGGGGCAGAGCCCTAGAGACACGTGACAGTCCTCCCCTTCTCTTTTGCATGGTCTGTATTGGATCGAGGTGCACTAGTGGTGGCCAGGACACCACTTGATTTCATCCATTTGGAGGGCTCAATCTTTCCTGGAAAAAAAGGGAAAGTTCTGGTGCACAGAGAAGGCTTATCCGAAAAATTTGGTATCAATATCAAGAGCAAGTTATACGTTAGCCAACCGGCTGTTATGGCACTAAAAGAAGGACTGCAACTTAGGATTCATGTACATGACCAGCTGCTAAACTCGAGTTTAGGAGCTTTTGGCATTTTTTTTACCAAAGTTCCTAAACTCAACTCCATAAAAGCCTGTGTGTCCATGTACATGTAGGCTTTTTAGCAGATTTTAGCAGCTGCAGCATTTAGGTGAGGTTAAACTGCCCTCTCCTGAATGTGAAAGAATCACGTTCAGGATAGGAACGTTTTGACCGCCGACCATGGGAAACCGCAAAACGCGGCAAAACCACAGCAAAAACTTGGTACTGTGGTTACCGTGTTTTGCCATGGTTTTGCCATGGTTTTGCAGTTTTCCGCGGTTGGAGGTCACGGTAGGCTCGTGTACATGAAACCTTAGAGTCTGTAGAAATATGTTAGTCCTTGAAGCACTTGGGATTCAGGAAGAGGCAGCCATCCTTAAGAGTGTAGCCAAGTATTTGAGACGAGAGAGAGAGAGAGAGAGAGAGAGAGAGAGAGAGAGAGAGAGAGAGAGAGAAAGGTGCCAGCTAAGTGAAGCAGTTAAAAATTCATTTGTTCCATAGAATTGAAAACACTCACAAACATCAGGAGAATACAAAGCTCATCTGTGTGTTTGTATAGGGCTGCTCCTCTCCATCCTGAAGTTACCACCAGTAGTGGTCTCAGAGCACCATGGAAATGGTGTAGGTGAATCCAATGGTGTGTAGACCAGGAAGAGACCAGGCACACCAGTGTGGAGCGCACCGACGGAAGTGACGTCACCGGAAGAGTCGGAGGACCGGAAGTCAACCACAGAGAGATACAGGCTACGCGCTCGGAGCCTCTAGCTCCTTCTACACGCCACTACTGGTGGTACCTGCAGGACGGACAGGAGTGGCCCTATACATACCCACAGATGAGCTTTGTATTCTCCTAATGTTTGTGAGTATTTTTAATCCTGTGGAATAAATTAATTCTTAACTGCTGCACTTAGCTGGCTTCCCTTTCTCTCTCTCTTTTGTCTCAGTCTTTCCTGAACGTGGCAAAACCATGGCAAAAACATGGTACTGTGGTTACCGTGTTTTGCAATGGTTTTGCCGTGTTTTGCAGTTTCCCACGGTTGGAGGTCACGGTAGGCTCGTGTACATGAAACCTTAGAGTCTGTAGAAATATGTTAGTCCTTGAAGCACTTGGGATTCAGGAAGAGGCAGCCATCCTTAAGAGCGTAGCCAAGTATTTGAGACGAGAGAGAGAGAGAGAGAGAGAAAAAAAAGGTGCCAGCTAAGTGAAGCAGTTAAAAATTTATTTATTCCATAGAATTGAAAACACTCACAAACATCAGGAGAATACAAAGCTCATCTGTGTGTTTGTATAGGGCTGCTCCTCTCCATCCTGCAGTTACCACCAGTAGTGGTCTCAGAGCACCATGGAAATGGTGTAGGTGAATCCAATGGTGTGTAGACCAGGAAGAGACCAGGCACACCAGTGTGGAGCGCACCGACGGAAGTGACGTCACCGGAAGAGTCGGAGGATTGGAAGTCAACCACAGAGAGATACAGGGTACGCGCTCGGAGCCTCTAGCTCCTTCTACATGCCACTACTGGTGGTACCTGCAGGACGGACAGGAGTGACCCTATACATACCCACAGATGAGCTTTGTATTCTCCTAATGTTTGTGAATGTTTGTGAGTATTTTTAATCCTGTGGAATAAATTAATTCTTAACTGCTGCACTTAGCTGGCTTCCCTTTCTCTCTCTCTTTTTGTCTCAGTCTTTCCTGAACGTGGCAAAACCATGGCAAAAACATGGTACTGTGGTTACCGTGTTTTGCCATGGTTTTGCCGTGTTTTGCAGTTTCCCACGGTTGGAGGTCACGGTAGGCTCGTGTACATGAAACCTTAGAGTCTGTAGAAATATGTTAGTCCTTGAAGCACTTGGGATTCAGGAAGAGGCAGCCATCCTTAAGAGTGTAGCCAAGTATTTGAGACGAGAGAGAGAGGGAAAAAGGTGCCAGCTAAGTGAAGCAGTTAAAAATTTATTTATTCCATAGAATTGAAAACACTCACAAACATCAGAAGAATACAAAGCTCATCTGTGTGTTTGTATAGGGCTGCTCCTCTCCATCCTGCAGTTACCACCAGTACTGGTCTCAGAGCACCATGAAAATGGTGTAGGTGAATCCAATGGTGTGTAGACCAGGAAGAGACAAGGCACACCAGTGTGGAGCGCACCAACGGAAGTGACGTCACCGGAAGAGTCGGAGGACCGGAAGTCAACCACAGAGAGATACAGGCTACGCGCTCGGAGCCTCTAGCTCCTTCTACACGCCACTACTGGTGGTACCTGCAGGACGGACAGGAGTGGCCCTATACATACCCACAGATGAGCTTTGTATTCTCCTGATGTTTGTGAGTGTTTTTAATACTATCGAATAAATTAATTCTTAACTGCTGCACTTATCTGGATCCCCTTCCTCTCTCTCTTTTGTCTGAGTCTTTCCTGAGCTACTGGTACAGAACAGCTCCTTGTTATCCTACAGTGACATCTCATTCCTTCCTGCCCTCATGCTGTACTCCAAGTCTCCTTGATGTAAGTGTGCATATTTTTTCTGTACAACAAATTCTGCACTCTTATCCTGCGCCCCTGGTTTACTGTTTTGCATGTCGATGGAGTGATCCACCCCCGTGATCCTTGTTGGGTGCTGCGGTTCTTTGTACCAGAATCATCTTCACATTCAAGTTCCCTGGACTTCTCCCTCACCGAACACCCTGAACGTTGGACTTTTTCTCTACAGTTTAGTGTATAGATAGCATGCTGGTTACAGGACTGTCAGATGCCTGGTTTCCCTCTGCTGTCCCCTGTATCACTACAGCACACAGTGTTGAGATACGAACTGGTGAATTAGACCAAAGCATTCAGCTGGGGATAAGATACACAATACACCTGAAAAGGTGTTGGATGATTAAGATCTCTGATTAGCGGTAACTTTTGAAGTGTGGACTGGGGCACCCCAGAAAAGTAAGTATTTTCTTGCAGGGTGCTTTTTACAAACTTATTTATAAAGGGGAATATAGTGAGTAAACATTGTGTGTTATTACTGTAACATTGAAATTGACATTTAAAGCAGTTTTTAATAAACTTTCAAATTTTGAGTTCTATGGCAATCTATATTTTCATGTGGTTACCAGGAATGAGCAAGTTTGCTCAAGCTTGATTCATGGGAAGTTCATTGAATCCTGCTTGAAGTAAACAAAACCTATGGAAGGACAGATCTTGATACTATGTTCTGCCTAACTTCATAGCCTGGGCAGCCATCAGAAATTTTGGGGGCCGGTTTATCCGGTTAAGGAGAAACTGTACCAATATAGATGATTATAACAATCAGGTTCAAAAACTAGGGGATAGATTCGAACAAAAAGGCTACAGTAAACATTTTATTTCTAAAAAAATTGAAGAAGTGGGGAAAATGGACAGATCCCAACTACTGATAGACAAGAATAGGGAGGCCCACCCAGATGACCATGTATCCATCATTCTAGATTACAATATGCACTATAAGAAAATTGAGAAACTATTTAAGAAATACTGGCCCATCCTCCAATCAGATCCTCATTTAGAAAAGGTCCTACCTACCAAACCACTATTTGTATATAGGAAGGCTCCTAGTA